TTGCTAACCACAATTGGAAAAAGTTCCCTACCCGAATTAAAAGTAACCAAATTGTCGTTGAAAATAAGAAATCGTATTTACTGAAAGCTGCTCTTTGCCCCGAAACGCAATCTTGGGTTGTTTCGGGGGGTGAACTTGATCATTTTGAGCTGAATGAAAGATTATAGAATGATGAACAAATGGGGCAAATCATGTGTATAAATACTTACGATAAATGTGTCATTTCAAAGATTTTTCATTGATTAGCTTCGATTGGTGACAACGATATGGTTTTGGAAAGGTTTCTAAATCAAGAATGTGACATCACTTCCGAATTATAGCATTTAGGATGAGTAGACTTAAATTACCAATGTCATTTGTAAAACCTTGGTGGTCTTGCGGTAGAATGCTTGCTCACCACGCCGGAGGCCCGGGTTCGAATCCCGCCTTCACCCTTTTATTTTTTTAACTAGATGATTGTTCTTTGATATTACCCAGACAAAAAAAACAATTTTTATTTACATAAACTTCATATTAGAGCTTGAAAATGTAAAAACAATATATTATGTCAACATATTGCGTTTTGGAGTGATGTGCAGGTTGAAGCAAGGTTGGGATGTGTAATTGGGAGGAATCAGGGCAATCCGCGCGAGGTTCGTTTTTTCTTGTTCTTCACAAGAGAGTAGCAGCAAATTGGAATCTGTTCAAATAAAACAAGAGCGATAGCGATGTATGGGTCTGGTCTACCGCGCCTTGATTGGTCAACAGTGAACAGTGACGTCAGGGTCAAGTGAGGTCACCTGCTTGACCACTGAGAACATTAAATCTAGAGAAAATCAGGACAAACTGAGCATGGCATAAGTAAACTGAACAATATTAAGCAAATATTTCATTCTATGGAGGGCAATACCTGTTCATCTTTCAATGATTTTTGCGGTATGTATTGCCCGCAGCCCGTAGGGCGAGGGAAATACATGATGCAAAAATCATTGAAAGTGCAACAGGTATTGCCCGAACATAGAATGAAATATTTGTTTTATTATACGAGGGTTGATCATAAAGTTCTCATAATATCTCTCTAATTTCTTTATTCTTCAATATTTTCCTATGAAATTTTCACAGTATGTGCAGCATGGAATGTTTTATTCGTCAAGCAAAAAATATTAAGAATAACAGAAATGTCAAATAAGAAATGGTTGCCATAGTAACTTGAAATCAAGGCACCCGGGGCAAATAAAAAACTAGCTAGAATAGCCCCCATTAACCATGTTTAAATACATAATAATTTGTCAAATAAGCTATCAAACACATTAAATTGTCAAATAATATGTGCTCTTGACTGTTGTGAACTATTATAATGGTCATGTGGATTGTGTGATCTCATAATGGATGGTTGTTATGCTTCATTAGAAGTGACTGTTAGACCCCATGACTGTTTCGTCAAATATCCCGAGGAAAAATGATTATGCCCCTTTAGTTCATTTTTAACATGTACAGACCACACACAAGGTGTAATTTTGTTGATATCTTAGCAATGTATTTGTTTTAGATCATGTTTAGTCTGACCAAAGGATCTTACAGACTTAACATAACATTATATCAGTATGAATTTTATTTTTCTGAAGACCTCTACATACATTGCATTCTCTTACTTAGTCAGTTCTGATCATTAGCTTTGGGTCTCAGACTCTGGTATAACATCTAATGAAGCATGAAATCATCCCTTATGACATCACACAATTTACACGATCGATTTATTTAATTGTTAAAGCACTTTACAGCATATTCAAGTTAACATTTTAACGTGTTTGGTAATTCAAGAGAGTTTATTATGTAAGTAAACATGGTTAATTAAGCTCATTCTCTCAATCATTTTTATTTGCCCCGGGTGCCTTGATTTCCCGTTACTATGGCAACCATTTCTTATTCAATATTTCTGTTGAACTAATTATTTTTTGCTGAATTAATAGGACATTCCATGCTGCACATTCTGTGAAAGTTTGATTAGAATTTATTGAAAAATAAAGAAATAAGAGAGATATTATGAGAACTTTATGATCAACCCTCGTATCATAGCTAGACTTTCCCTATGATCATTTATTTTAATCAATTAAATATATCATTAATCCATAAGTGAACATAATTACGTACAAGTACCATTGAATGGTACACTTTATTTTCGTCCAGTGTAGTTGTCAGAATTCCCGGGCGGGCAATACGTCTTTTATTATCCTAAAATTGAGGGAGCTGTGAAATACGTTATGGTATTTTTGATCACATGGTACTGACTCGACCAATCAAATCACACAATTTCTAGCAATGATATAATAATGCAAAATATTACACAGGATTTAAAAGGCCGAAACTGTTTGGAAAGTTCCTAAATTTAGTGTAATTAGGTCTCCGGTAAATAGCACTTCCGTTTTTTTTTAATACTTTAAAAACGAAGCCATGCCAACTTCAATGGTGTGTATAGTAGTTTTAAGTGTATGCAATGTGGCCATTTTAGGTATGTATGTAAAGCTGAGGCCAAGTACTTTCTAAATGTGCCATTTTAAGAAAAAAATCACAAGAATATAGTCCCGTAAACTGGAACTACTTTATTCATTTATTTTCATCGGTGAAGCAGGGATCTTACCTGAAAATGAGTCCTTATGTTGGCGTAGTGATATATAAAAATCGAGACGCAAACCCTATGTTAAATATAGTGTCAAGATGAAGGTTATGTATAGGGGAACGCAGAAATATAGTCATTTTATGGATTAGTTCGTTCGAAATGGCGATATGTACCCCAGAACTTGAATTTTGTGATTTTTTCAATATTTTTAGATTTACCGTAGTGACACCTTGACCTGACCGGAAGACGACAACAACAAGATAGGTCCAACAAGATAATGCAGTAAACTTGATTTCTTATTTTCAAGGACAATTTGGATACTTTTAATTCGGGTAGGCCTAAGGCCCAAGTATGTTAGCTTTTTTGTTATGACAACATAATCTCAAAGATAGTCCATAAATTAATTTTGGAATATGTTTTTGATCCTACCACCCCTATGAAAAAAATAAAAGCGCCCGCCTGGGTGCTTGCCTGCCGGTAAAATACAGGTAACCGATATTTATTGACTCCTAAACTTTTAGAAGGTATCTTTAATAAGGCAATGTGAGTATGTGGGAATTGATATGTGTATATCCTGCCACCACTGCAAAATAATGGACTTGCCCACTTGGTCTCTTGGATCCACTTGTAAAATATATATAACCAATATAAATACCTCAGTAAACACATCTATAAAGCAAGCCACGTATACAGCCCAAAGGACACGAAACAGACATCACTACACAGCACGAACGAGAAAACAGACCACGTGCTTCTATTACTCACACTATATATACCCTTTCACTGAATGAGTAAAATACTCAGATATGAAATACTTGGAAAGTTACCAGGGGTACAGTAGATCACACTATGAATAACTTGACAATATAGGGGTTCGATTGATCTACATCAAATTATAGGGAATTATTATTGAATATATTATTAAATTATATCAGCGTCCATTTATTGTAACTCGTGTTTGCTACCATTTCCTCAATTCTGAGATGACGGGCAAACGCGTAGTAAACCAGACTTGCCAACCTAAAATGAAAAATTTTCGGGAGATTTAAAAAAATTGCGGTACTTTTACAGGAGTTTTTTTCAAAATCCTGTAGTTTTTTTGAAAAAAACGGGAGTTAATGGGAGTTTTTGCGGTAAATTTTGAAAAAAATGGGAGTTTTTTACGGGAGATTTTGAAAAAACTGGAGTTTTTATGGGAAATTTTTAAAAAAAGATATTTTTCGCGGTGAATTTTGAAAAACGTGACTTTTTTACGATGATTTAAGAAAAAACAGGAGTTTTTGCGGTAGGTTCTGAAAAAACGGGAGTTTTTACGGTAGGTTTTGAAAAAACGGGAGTTTTTGCGGTAGATATTTTGAATAAAATGTGAGTTTTTACGTTAGATTTCTGAAAAAATGTGAGTTTTTACGGTAGATTTTGAAAACGAATTGATCAAAGCTAACTAAAATGTATATGTGACATTCACTATATGCTAAGGGCAATCTGCGTGAGGTTCCATTTTTAGGTTTGGTTTTTCGCGCATGAGCATTAAATCCAGCCATCTAATTGGTTGAAATTATTATGACGCATGCACAGTTAATAAATTAATTAGAACTTATAATCTAAGATAGATGTCACTTACGTTCATTATTTCACAGCAGTCCCTACCCATAATGCGCCTTATATTGCGGGAATTTGTTTATCGCCATATAAAAACAAAATGTATTCTCCCGACAGAAGTATGACAGAATATGAACTGGCCCCCGTTTGTGGACATTTGGTGTGCAAACTTATACCGAACTTATCGCAGAAAAGCAATTTGAATCATGGGAATGAAGTACTTTTAAGTTATTTATGAAAGTATCGATAGTGAACCATGGGAGTCAATCCTTCCTGGAGTAAAAGAAAGAAGCGTGCTTGCAATAATCAAGGTCACTTTGTCAAATTCCTTTTAAATACGGTAGATTTCGACAGCAAAAAACGGAGATTTTACGGGAGTTATACCAAGAATACGGGAGATTTTTCGGGAGTTATACCAGAAAACGGGAGATTTTATGGGAGTTATACCAAGAATACGGGAGATTTTACGGGAGTTATACCAGAATACGGGAGATTTTACGGGAGTTATACCAGAAAACGGGAGATTTTATGGGAGTTATACCAAGAATACGGGAGATTTTACGGGAGTTATACCAGAATACGGGAGATTTTACGGGAGATTTCAGCAAAAATACGGGAGATTTTACGGCCATATTTTTTTAAAAAATTACGGGAGATTTTAGTAGAAATATGGTACGGGAGTTTTTACAGGAGAAAACGGTACGGGAGTTTGGTATTTTTTACGGAAAAACAAAAAATTTAGGGGAGATTCCCTTAAAAATACGGGAGGTTGGCAAGTCTGTATACCACATTTCATTAAGTTTTTAGTCAATGTTTCATATTTTATATCCAAAAATCAATATTTTAATATCTGTTAAATCTATTGTGATTTTAAAATGATTAAAATGTACTCTTCTAATTGTTCTAGCATTCTGTTTACTCTTTTACAATCTAAGAATAAAAGTTCATAATTTTCAACTAGCCTACTTGACATAAATCATAGTTATCAGTTTGACTTATTTGCCATATTTTAAGTAATCTTACATGGTAAAATGTAATGTAGCAATTTATATCAACAATTTGCAGATTTTTTGTTCTGACGCTTATACAAGAAAACCGACTGTATCGTGTGGTGTGTTCCAGAATTGACAGTACTTCAAAATAAATTTTGAAAACATAGAATCACTTATCGATTTACAGGAACCAACTAGATGTCGGGACTCAGTTGTCGAAGTCGGTGAATTTGCAACAACCCTATTAAGATGAAACCAAAGCTATTCCAGTATTATAGGCCTCATGTAGTCATACATCAACAGGCATCAATGAAGCAATGCCAACATCGTATAATATTTTACTGGTTTATACCATCCTTGTTCACAAGGTTTCAGTCATTCAAACTCTATATGACTCATAACAGTAACTTGAGTGATGCTTTCGAACCATAGAATTTTGTGGGGGTTTCAATAGTGCACATGGACATGCAATTATTTGATAGTTCTTACTCAGCAATCATCTTGATAGGTAGGATACCTCATATACATTTCATGTATGTTGAATCAGTTTCTTTAGAACAAAATCTGCTCCTTTTTATACAAAAACATTTTACATGTAAACTAAAACATATTGACATTTCAGCTATAAATCATTTCATAATTTTAAAAGTTGCACTTTATCTGTTGAATTGATTATGTGAATCTAATTCTTTGTGGCGGTTCATGGTAGTCATGGTATGACCAAAACATTTTTACAATATGTCACAATACTATTTCTTGGTGGTGAAATAAAACTTGATTTTTTCTGAATAAATTCCACATTTTTTATATATTTAACACAATCATACACTCAAATTTTGCTTTAGTTTTTTTTCATTTGTGTTTTTCTTTGTTTCATCAATGTCTTCAGTATTATTTTGTTTCCTCTTAGATGGTTTTGAACCACCAACAGTGTCTAGTGTATCCCATACATCTTCATCAGAATCTCCTGATCTCCCAGAATCCTTTTCAACAGTTATGTCTATTTCATCTATTTCTGCAGGGGTCTCTGCTGTGATTCTTTTGGAAAACAGCACACAATTCAGACGAGACTTCATATAGAACTGGAATTATGAGAACATGTAAATCATATCAAATCAACTATTATATACATGTAGATAGTGAATTCCCCATCTGCCAGGTTTGAAATGACACAAAACAAGGCTTGTAGAAATGCTATGCCCAAATACTCTTTATGCTGTTAATCTTCAAATTGCCCTCAACTGGTAAATTATTGCAAACGGTTAATAAAAAGTGTAACAATTTGTTATAATTCAAAGAGATCAGATCGTCCAAAAGCACAATTAGAGTAACCCCCCCCTGGTATTTTCGTATTATATGATGTAAAACAAGTATTTAAATCGGGAGGAATCCAGAATTTTTATTGATCATCCCGACTTATTTTTCAAAATCCAGATTTTCAAAAGATCCCGATCTTTATCCCGATTTTAAGGAAATATCCCGATTTTTTTTAAATATCCCAACTTTAAGAAAATATTAAATTTTTCGTAAATTATCCCGATTTCTTTTCATAAAAAATATCCCGATTTTGTGTTCAAAACTCCTGATTTGTTAACGAGACATTCAGATTTTTCAGTAAAAACTCCCGATTTTCAAATGGTACCCTCCCCAATTTCGTTCAAAACTCCCGATTTGTTAATGAGATGCCCTCGCAAAAAATGAAAGTATACAACAGGTTTTGTGATAAAACAAAATACAGTAGCTAACTACACACACAAAATACACTTGTAAAGTGCTTTCATCTTCTATAGTATTCTAGACTAGAAATAAATCGAACGTTCTAGAATCTAGGACTGAAAAATTCCGACCAATTTTACTGAACACATAGATACGTTTTTATTGACAGTATTCTTTGACTTCATGTATAACAAAAACATGTACTCATGCTTTATCACAAAGATAATTGATTGTGTGAGGACTAGATGTAGATTATATAATTATTTCTGATATCTACTATTGCAAGTAATGTGCTTTGAGGTCCAAATGAATAATACGGAAAACCATGATTAAAGCTTGATTAAATTGATAATTTTCGATCACCGGATGGATTCTATCTTGTAGTGACGTCACAATTAGGTCACTCAGCTTTAGATGTTTGATTTTGAGAGATTATCTTCTATATTTCGTGCTTTATTGATTTATTTCTCACGAAAGCGTTCGATTTGACTAGATCAACATTCATGCTAAGCACATACCAAGTCTAAGGATCTTACTGACATGATTTAGATAGCGGTTAAGCGCCCCCCGATTTTGAAGAAATCGGGGGGTGCTTATAGGCATTGATGTTTAGTATGAATTTCACCCAAACTTCGCACATATATAGATATACTCATGATCCAGTCAAATCGGCATACCTGGTAAATGTCCGACCCATGGTTTTCATAAGAGAAACGACAATATTCTTTGCTCAAAACTGCCATGTGTCTGCCATTTCGTGATTCCATCATGTCGAATATCATTTCTGTATGACGTCACACCAATAAGACGAAATACATGACAACAGTATCAATAAACAAAATTCATGAATTCTGATCGCAAAAGGTCAATTGCAGGATCATAACGTCAAGTTTTGAGGGTGTATTCACATTAATTAATTATGATGTGTTACTTGGTTTAATGCAGATGATATCTGATGGATATATTAACCAGAACAACGGCAACGCCAAAGCGTAGCGAATCCCATCGAACAGAAATGGCTGGCATTTTTACAAATGAATAGCAAATATCATAAAACAACACACCACAAAAGGCCACCATTTTTAAAATGGTTGCTCACTAGCCAAGTTGTCATCAGAAGAAATAATATGCTTTTAAGTAGCCACCTCTAAAATTTTTGAAAAATCGCACACGTACTTGTAAAATAACACACATAAAAATGGTGGCCATTTTTCAAAATGGCCGACTACTCCCGAAAGTTTTATTAGACAATGTGCAATGCTTAAAGTATTCACATATCAAATATGAACAAAATCGCTGCACTACTTTTCGAGTTATAGTAAAATACCAAAAGTGTCATTAGACAGTGTGCCATGCTTATAGTATTCACTTACAAAATATGAACAAAATCCACCCTTGCTATACGCAGCTAACAAAATTGACTGGTACGAGTCAAAAGCTGGACCGGTACGGGTTAACGGTTTTATTTGAATTTAAAACAGCCATAACTTGCTCAATATTGACTTCCTCGTGTCTAATTTGAAATATATGATGCCTCCCGATGCTTTTAAGTACCCCAATTGTTTACAGATTTTTAAACGGACCAAAACTCTCTAAATGCGCATTTATGCTCTTTTCTCTCGAGAACAACTGTCTCATTTTCACGATAACTTTTATTTAGTACTTCTAACATATAAGATCTATTTTCCCCATCAAGGTATGATGTAAATGACATGCTATTTACATCCTGTGAGTTTCAATGACGCGTGTTTAATTTTATAAAAAATGCCAAACTTTGTGACAAAGAATTTCATCAGCTATTGCCCCGAACCGGTCCGTCTTCTCGCTGCAAGCAGATTGCCCCGAACCGGTCCGTCTTCTCGCTGCAAGCAGGATGAAATTCTTTGTCACAAAGTTTGGCATTTTTTATAAAATCAAACGCGCGTCATTGAAACTCACAAGATTTCCTCCTCACATAATTAACATAACTAGAGATTTAAGATTGCAAGCAATCTTACGGAGGCCCTGTAGGCGTTTTTGGCAATTTGAAGGTCAGCCAAAGGTCAAATCTCAAATCTAGGGTCATATACTAACACCAGTCAACTTGTAGATGATTTAAAAAAAAAAGTTTGGTCAATTTGAAGCAAGTTGAAATTTAGTCTTGAAAAGTTTGGAAATTTGACCTTTTTTCAGTTTTTGAGTCCTAATATCTCAAAACTGGTACACAATTTTAATAAATAGTCAATTGCTAATATGTGTAGAAACTATAGAGGAATATATATCCTGACTTTCATGAAAAAATATTGATTTGTAGTCACCAAAACTTAGAAACTTCGAAAACACAGTTGGTGATTTAATTTGATGACCTTGACCTTTGATCTTGCAAATTTTACTGTAATTCACCTCAGTAGCTCTTTTGTGATCAAATATAACTAAATTTGAATCCAAAAAATCGATTTAAAAAATCAACTTTTTTTTCCCTTCCGAAGGTCACTGAAGGTCAACCAAAGGTCAGGGGTCAAAAGTAAGGTCAGATTTGGATTCCTGAGATCCTGTAGATGCTTTTTAAAAAAAAGTTTGGTCAATTTAGAGCAAGTTGAAATTTAGTCTTGCAAAGTTTCGAAATTTGACCTTTTTTCAGTTTTTGAGTTCTAATATCTCAAAACTGGTACACAATTTTAATAAATAGTCAATTGCTAATATGTGTAGAACCTATAGAGGAATATATATTCTGACTTTCATTTAAAAATATTGATTTGTAGTCTCCAATTTTGAGAAACTTAGAAAACACAGTTTGTGTTTTCATTTGATGACCTTGACCTTTGACCTTGCAAATTTTACTTTTTTAGACCTCAGAAGGTCTTTTGTGAATAAATATACCTAAATTTGAATCCAGAAAATCGATTTGAAAAATCAATTTTTTTTACCTTTCGGAGGTCACTGAAGGTCAAATAAAGGTCAAAGGTCAAAAGTAAGGTTAGATTTGGAATCCTGAGAACTTGTAGATGAGTTTTAAAAAAAAATTGGTCAATTTGAAGCAAGTTGAAATTTAGTCTTGAAAAGTTTCGAAATTTGACCTTTTTTCAGTTTTTGAGTTCCAATATCTCAAAACTTGTACACAATTTTAATAAATAGTCAATTGCTAATATGTGTAGAACCTATAGAGGAATATATATCCTGACTTTCATGAAAAAATATTGATTTGTAGTCTCCAATTTTGAGAAACTTAGAAAACACAGTTTGTGATTTAGTTTGATGACCTTGACCTTTGACCTTGCAAATTTTACTTTTTTAGACCTCAGTGGGTCCTTTCTGATCAAATATACCTAAATTTGAATCCAGAAAATCAATTTGAAAAAAACGACTTTTTTTACCTTTCGAAGGTCACCGAAGGTCAACCAAAGGTCAGAAGTCAAAAGTAAGGACATATTTGAGTTCCTGAGATCTTGTAGATGATTTTAAAAAAAAATCTGGTTCATTTGAAGCAAGTTGAAAAATGACCGATTTTTGCCGATTTTTGGCGTCAAATATCTCAAAAACGGTAAAAAATTAACGCGTACATATAGTGAGCAATTTGTAGAGAATGCTTATATCTAGTTACATTTTAATTCATCGCAAGAAATAATGAAGTATGAGGACGAAATCTGAGAAACTTAAAAAAAACTTTGATTTGACCTAGATTTTGACCTTTGACCTTGACCTAGATAAAAATTCCTTTCCCCTTAAGTTCAACCTAGGTCCCTTGTAGGTTTATATAGTAGATAGTTGAAATCTAGTTGGAAGTAGGAGAAAAAGTGCAGAGAAGAATAAATAATAATAATAATAATAAATAATAATATCTATAAAATTAATAGGAGGCCCCCCGATGGGGCCTCCTAATAATTAGAAAAATGCAATACTGTTATTAAAAACATGGACCAAGCTCATCCAGTACCTTATCAGTCAAAATGGAACACATGCCATATTCTTTATAATTAGATAGGCAGAAGAATGATATACGAGACAATATCAAAATGGAAGTGAATAAAAATTCAGTTTTCAGGGTTATTTTGATATTTCAAAAACAAGAAACCATAAAAAAGATGTGTTTTATTTATTTTCTATCAGTGATTTTTGCTCTGCAAGGCCTACATATACACATTGAAAAAATAAGTTTTTAAAAATTACTATTCAAAAGTTATGAAGACCTAAACTCTGCAAGGTCTACATATACACATTGAAAAAATAAGTTTTTAAAAATTACTATTCAAAAGTTATGAAGACCTAAACTCTGCAAGGCCTACATATACACATTGAAAAAATAAGTTTTTAAAAATTACTATTCAAAAGTTATGAAGACCTAAACTTCAACCTCTGATTTCTAAATATCAGCGAAAATGCAATTGTAACAATGTGGAAATAATAGGACGATTTAACAAACATAATGCTAATTTTTGTGCAATATAAGCTTGGATTTTAGTTTAAAATAATTATTCAAGCATATTTACCTTATAAAGTAATTTATTTGATTTTGTTTCATGGATTCTCAGAAATCTATCAAGGCCACAGGAAGTAACCCAAGGCATTGTAGGATGGCAAGCAATACTACGAATGCTACCAGCAAATCCCTTATATTTGTGAACTAACCGTCCCTTGCGAAGGTCAACAAGTGCCATAGTGCCCTTTGAATTGCCAATCACAGTTTGCCTAAAAAACAATGAAAACACATATTTATCTTTATTTCACAATCCTGGGATATTTGATTATGAAAAAATGCTTGCTGAACAAAAACCTGTAAATTTGAAATAAGTCCATAATTCGATCAAACAGTCTATTTTACTTTTATTACTCTCACTTCTCATCATAATATATTGTATGACATTTCACTCTTAATCAAACGATTTGATAGAAGATGATAGTTTGCACATAGGTGGTCTTTGCTCTGGGTTGAACAAGGAACATGATGTGAATTAGATCACACCATCAAACAAGGCACAGGGTGAACAATATCGTACCTAAAACATAGCAGTGTGGGCTTGGTGACCCAGAAAGAAAGATGGCTGCTGAAAAGTTAATCAGTTATAGAACTTCTTACTATGTAACATGTGTAAAAATTTGAAGAAAATACTTCAAGTGGTTTTCCTGGAATCGTGATGACAAGATTTATCTAAGAACTTCCAAAATGCCTGCCAGAATGCAAGATGGCAATCGAAAAGTTAACTAGAAAACGGCAACTCCACAGAGTAGCAAATCCCAACGAACACTATATAAATCATAAATCTGTACAGTCACAATGTAATATTTACTCTTCCCTTCAATAAATATTTGAGGTCATTATAGTGCCATTTTACCATACTTTCAAAATAGCTCTAAGTAATGGCGATTTTCTGCTCTAGGCAGTCATTTTGAATTTCTGAGGCACAAATCAGAAAAACAATACCATAATTGTGATCTACTTTGAAATTCCTTCAATTTGAGTATAAGATATACTTTAAGAGATCAAAAAATAATTGCAAAATGGCCAACACTAGGCGGCCATTTTGAATTTAACAAGGCCCCAATCAGAAAAACGATACAATATTTGCAATCTACTCTAAATTGCCTTTCATTTGAGTATAACAAAGCTACATGTATACTTCAAAACATCTCAAAATTAATGCAAATTCCTGTTTTTCAAACCCCCCATTCACAGCACCTGGGGGTCAGGGTGAAAAACACAGAGTATAAGTGAAATAGATAGATCTTGTGAATATTTTTGTTTAAAATGAAAAACATAAGACTTTTGCAAACCAGACTTGCCAACCTAAAATCCGGTAGTTTTTGCAGGATTTTTTTTTGTGATTTAAAAAAACAGGAGTTTTTGCGGTAAATTTTGAAAAAAAATGGGAGTTTTTACGGGAGATTTTGAAAAAACTGGAGTTTTTACAGGAGATTTTTTTAAAAGGTATTTATTGCGGTAAATTTTAAAAAACGTGACTTTTTTACGGAAGATTTAAGAAAAAACAGGAGTTTTTGCGGTAGGTTCTGAAAAAACGGTAGTTTTTACAGTAGATTTCTGAAAAAACTGGAGTTTTTACAGTATATTTCTGAAAAAATGGGAGTTTTTACGGTAGATTTCAGAAAACGGGAGTTTTAACGGTAGATATCTGAAAAACGGGAGTTTTTGCGGTAGGTTCTGAAAAAACTGGAGTTTTTACGGTAGGGTTTGAAAAAACGGGAGTTTTTGCGGTAGATTTAAAGAAAAAAGGGAGTTTTACGGTAGATTTCTGAAAAAACTGGAGTTTTTACGATAGATTCTGAAAAAACGGGAGTTTTTACGGTAGATTTCTGAAAAAACAGGAGTTTTTACGGTACATTTCGGAAAAACTGGAGTTTTTACGGTAGATTCTGAAAAAATGGATAGATTTCTGAAAAAACAGGAGTTTTTACGGTAGATTTCGGAAAAAACGGGAGTTTTAACGGTAGATTTCTGAAAAATGGGGGTTTTTACGTTAGATTTCTGAAAAACGGGAGTTTTTACGGTTGATGTTGAAAAAATGGGAGTTTTTACGGTAGATTTCTAAAAAACTAATTGATCAAAGCTAACTAAAATGTATATGTGGCGTTCACTATATGCTAAGGGCAATCTGCGTGAGGTTCCATTTTTAGGTTTGGTTTTTCGCGCATGAGCATTAAATCCAGCGATCAAATTGGTTGAAATTATTATGACGCATGCGCAGTTAATAAATTAATTAGAACTTATAATCTAAGATAGATGTCACACTGTTTTTACGGTAGATATTTTGGAAAAAACGGGAGTTTTTACGGTAGATTTTGAAAGAACGGGAGTTTTTACGGTAGATTTCGGAAAAACGGGAGTTCTTACAGTAGGTTTCGGAAAAATAGGTGTTTTTACGGTAGATATTTTGAAAAAACGTGAGTTTTTACATTAGATTTCTGAAAAAAAACAAATTGATCAAAGCTAACTAAAATGTATATGTGGCGTTCACTATATGCTAAGGGCAATCTGCGTGAGGTTCCATTTTTAGGTTCGGTTTTATGCGCATGAGCATTAAATCCAGCGATCTAATTGGTTAGAATTATTATGACGCATGCGCAGTTAATAAATTAATTAGAACTTATTATCTAAGATAGATGTCACTTACGTTCATTATTTCACAGCAGTCCCTACCCATAATGCGCCTTATATTGCGGGAATATTTTGTTTAGCGCCATATAAAAACAAAATGTATTCTCCTGACAGAAGTATGACAGAATATGAACTGGCCGCCGTTTGTGGACATTTGGTGTGCAAACTTATACCGAACTGATCGCAGAAAAGCAATTTGAATCATGGGAATGAAGTACTTTTAAGTTATTCATGAAATTATCGATAGTGAACCATGGGAGTCAATCCTTCTTGGAGTAAAAGAAACAAGCGTGCTTGCAATAATCAAGGTCACAAATTTGTCAAATTCCTTTTAAATACGGTAGATTTCGACAGCAAAAAACGGAGATTTTACGGGAGTTATACCAAAAATACGGGAGATTTTACGGGAGTTATACCAGAAAACGGGAGATTTTATGGGAGTTATACCAAGAATACGGGAGATTTTTCGGGAGTTATACCAGAATACGGGAGATTTTACGGGAGATTTCAGCAAAAATACGGGAGATTTTACGGCCATATTTTTAAAAAAAATTATGGGAGATTTTAGTAGAAATACGGTACGGGAGTTTTTACGGGAGAAAACGGTAAGGGAGTTTGGTATTTTTTACGGAAAAAGAAAAAATTTCTAGAGATTCCCGTACAAAAACAGGAGGTTGGCAAGTCTGAGTAAGCATGCTCACGTCGGAACTATTTTGACCTACATCGCTATTTTCGTAATTCAAATGAAAGTTGAAACTCTTCCTCTTTATTTTGATACCAAATAGTGGCATACTAGGTACCCTAGAAGCCAACTATGGCGTTATTTAGAACAAAGCCACAAGTTTTTAAATAAACTATATAGGGTCATACCTTTTGGCAGATGGATATGGAACCTCATACCTTAATGTTTTATGACATCACACTGATTTTTGTCTCTGCAACTTTTTTTGGCAGAAAATATCATTTTTAGTTCAAAAATGCATAAAAATGTCGGAACTGGCTGAATATGTGGAAAATTTATCCATTTAGGCTAGAAAGGGTTAATTTGCCCTACCCCAAATACGTCTTAATATGCTAGTCTAACTTTGCCACTGTGACGTCACAAATCTAACCTGACTATCTCTGAGTTTATTGAAGAAAATGATACGTCTGACAAAGAGCTTTCATTCCCTTTATGGCACACCTTCTACTAAGAGTTGCATCATTGACTAAATCTACGACAAAGGCCCTATGTCCCGAGGATTTTGACTGAAATTTAGCCATTTTCGCCTTAATCTAAGTAAATGCAGTTTCCCCCACAGCTGTATTTTGAAATAAATATTGCTACAATGTAGCAATTTAAAAATCAGACATGCTTACTGTTTCTGTTGACCTGACATGTGTATCTAGCCTGTAAAAATGAAAAATCTCTACATTGTAGCAATTTCGGTGAGATGTGGGCCCTCAAAATCATGTAATTTTAGCAAAAAATGAAGAAATAACCTGCAATTTTGACGGAATTTCAGAGGGCTTTCTTTCATTTATGACCCTCCACGGGCCTCTTATGACCATTCTTATAAGCACAGAAGGGTTGAAAGTGATTTTAAATCATTGTTTGCCATACGCAGAATGAAAAAATCGATTCTGTTCTCAAATTCTGCTCGAATATTGTCTCTGGCCAACTAGCAGACAATTTTAGGCCTCATATTAAGGTATGAGTACCGTAATCCAACACCAAATTCGAAAATTCAGAATAATACTTTGCACATATGTCGTTCCTGATCAACTTTAAAACGCTTACCCCCCATAGTGTTATATATCAAAATGTACCTGTTCATATAGGGGTTCGATTGATCTACATCAAATTATAGGGAGTCAGGTTACTTTTTGAGATATCAGCGTCCATTTATTGTAACTCACGTTTGCTATCATTTCCTCAATTCTGAGATGACGGGCAAACGCGTAGTCAACATGCTCATGTCGGAACTATTTTGACCTACATCGCGATTTTCGTTATTCAAATGAAAGTTGAACTCCTCTTTATTTTGATACCCAATAGTGGCATACTAGGTACCCTAGAAGCCAACTATGGCATTATTTAGAACAAAACCACAAGTTTTTAAATGGACTATATTCACCTTTCCATAAAGTCACCTCATGAATATTATAATGAGCTGATTAAAAATCTGTGGCGTCAATGGGAAAAACTTTTTCCTGCGAAAAACGAATGCAATAGACTAGATGCAAATAGAAATAATGTTGATTTACGTCATTAAATATTCAAAATTCAGTCAAAGTGATGTCATATTTGAAATCTACATGTAAAAGTACATCTAAAAGAATAATTTTGAAAATTGTTTATCAACTTTGAAAATTTAATGGTTTTTGAAAATGTGACTTCTAGCTCGGGTTGATTCCTCATAGACCCCATGTTACAAAATCACAAAAAGTGAAATATCTTTTCTTGTATTGGACAGATAACATTTTCTTTTACTTGACATATTTTAATTTGCATAACTATTAGATACACAAGGGTTATATAAAAATTGAACCACTAAAACAGATGTAATTTAAGTTAAAGGGAACTTTCTACTATACC